TGTAAAATGTGGTAAAAAAAACACCAAGGGGTCATTTACCTCACACATTCAGCAGCCTCCAGATGGTAAACAATCCAAGGCGTCCATTGACAATATATGGGTTCTGCTCATATCGCCTGATTGTTTCCATCTTTAACAGCCCTCTTTTTAGATCAAGTCAATTCAATTGTATTCTTATAGTGCTAAATCACAGCAAATGTCATCTCCAGGGATTCCAGTTTAAGCCAATTACAATCCAATTCATTGTAAAACAATCATGTGTTCTCATCCGTTGTTTGGTCTAGTCATTTGTTTTCTTTTTTTCTCTGCGGAGTCTGTTTTCCAGATGTAATAAATATCACTATCATAAAAAAAACCCTTCTGAGGAATCTGCAATGCAGAAAGAAATTCCTGCTCAGTTTCACGCAGATTCCTGCTGGTGTGCTGTTTGTTTTCTTTATTTAAATTGCGTGTCTCTTACCATATCCCCTCTCCATCTGACCGCTCACGCATTCAGCTGTGATCTAATACAGCTTTATTACGCTTGTTTCCCATCTCGTAAACTGTTTTCTTGTGCTTCTCTCAGGACACATTCAGACACCACAGATAATCTTCAAACTGTACTTTTCTCCCTCAAACCTCCAGTGCTGAGGAAACAACCAAACTTCTGCTTGCCAACTTTCTGTAGCTGCTACTCCAGGGAGGGGAGAGTACTAAAAAGGCAGAGGTGAAAGACGATGAGTTATGCAATCAAACCAGTCAGGGGAATGCTCATTATTGTGCCTTTTTGGTTTGTTTTGCCTGTGTGTGAGGTACCCTCCCTCTTCTGTTTATCGCTCAGTTGATGACTGTCTCTTCTGCAGGCTGCTCATCTTCAGTAATACTGCTCTCCTCTCCGTGTGATATTCATAGTAGCTTGAAAATGTCTCCCTGCACAGTGCCAGAACTGACACGGCAACAAATTAATGGGGGATGAAATGATAGAAACTCTGTATTTTCTTCCCATTCATCCGGCTTCTTTTTCAAAAGGCATCTGCTTGGGAGGATTTCTAAATGCCAGCTGAATGATGGGCAGCTCTGGGAAGAGGTTTGAAAGCACAAGTACTTGTTCATATGTGATCCTCATTCGTAATTTGTTTACAGAGAATGCTCAATTATGGTCTCAAGAACCGGTGGTTAGTGTGTAGCTGGGACCATTTCTGGGCTTACAAACCAATTTTTGCTAATCAGCGGAGCCACTTTGCTACTAATTTAGGGTGACAGCCTGCTCTTTTTGTAAACAAAGCTCTCTACCTCCACAGAATGAGGTGCAGCTCTAAATAATGACTAAAATGTATTGTGTCAGTCAGTCCACTTTCATAAGGTTAAAAACAGAAGGAAGCCTGTGTCCGGCCTGTGAAAAGCCAAATTTCCCTGATTAGGGTAAGAGAGAAAAAGAAGGTCAGAGACATTCTTAAAGCACCGTCCAGCTCTTATAATGTATTTTGCCGTTCAATAATTTCTTCAGAACTGTTGAACGGTCTAAGATGCGTCCCACCTATTGTTCTCTTGTTCTCTTTTTGGAAACAAACTTAAGTTTATTTCACATTTTCCTGCGTCACATGTTTGTAAATTGGGTCTGCTGCCCCCATGACACCAAGGCTGGTTTGCGCCTTATCTTAGAGGAGATGCTGTCCAGCCGATCCACATTATCACTGCGGCTGTCTGGCGACCTAGGAAAAAAATGCTGAAAGGCACATAAACATTTGTTGGATGTCTGTGCCATCATTGGTTTTCTCTGAGCTTCTCAGATGCAAAACAAATAGCTCAAATTAAAAATTCCAGTAAAAAATAAAATGTTTTTTAGTTGTGATACTATGAGCTCTTATCCCAAATTGCCCTTTATGTCAGTTCAATTTCCAACTTGTCATAATTCTGTTTATACCCTTTAACTATAAGGACTTTTATGTCTAAAAATTGGTTGAATAGTTTGGGCCGAATCCACACAAGAAATTAAGTGAACACCTCAGTGGATTTTAAAAACTAGAACATCGCCAATTTTAAGAAAGTGTAAGACAGTTGCTAGAATTTATAACAGTCCTTTAAAAGCCACAGTCTTCATGCTGAATGGCATCGTAATGGTTTGCCAATTTTCCCTAAATGCACCCCGGGAAGGGAATTGGTGGATGTGAAAGCATGTCTTGAATAAAATATGAAGTTAACCAAATTACTCCAAAATCAGCACTTCACTTAATCAGGTGCCTGCCAGTAAAAGGGCTATCTGGAAGACCAGTGCTGCCATGCACAGCCAGTTACAAAGGTTTTCATAAATAAACATCCAAGCCACATCCTCCTTTGAAAAGCATTCTGCAAGGCTGCATTTTGCTATTTGAGTGCCCCGGTAGGTAGTTTTCTTACTTTAAGACTATTGAGGCTATTTAGTTCTGCTGCTTTGATTTTTGAGTGGAGTGCAAAGGGTCAGATAACCATGACTGACATGTAACCTTAACATTTAAATAAATACAGTTCAAATCATACACATTTAAAAGATGTGTCATTTTCTTTCTTTCTTTTTTTTGACAAGTTGGAAAAAGAAAATGATTGCAACACTAAAAAGCAGACCTAACTAATGAATGGACTAATCAGTCATCAAACAAAATGACATTCGAATAATCAGACAACAGACGCACCCATAAACCTGCAATGCAGGTTTGCTTATGCTTATTCAATCCATAACAAAAAGATGGTGACTTGTACAGCCCATATATTTAGAAAAGTCGACTTAATTTATGGAGCATATTTTAAAAACATTAATGTGGACCCAATTGCTGTGTAGCAGGAAAGTAAATAACTTAAACAACTAAAGCAATCAAACATGACAAAGCAGTAAAACTTAAAAGCAGAACAACAAGATCCTTATGCAAGGCACAACAATATAAATCAACAATAGTAAAAGACAGCAGAACTAAATCAGCACAGACTGAAGGGACCCAAACAGATGTATATATTCAGAGTAACTTATTGCCCATCACTGCAGTAATTACCTCATCTCAAATGGTGGATAATTTTACACCAAAGCGTCTTCTTGCAACAAAACCATTAATTAGTCTTTTTGAAAAAGACATTTTTTGTCCGATCAGGCAACAAGAGATAGTAACAGGTAGATTTTGGAATAGTAATGCTACACACAGTGGGAAAATTAGAAATCTTAACTAAATGCTATTAAAGGAGTCAATGTTATTTTACCTAAGAGTCAACCACCGTCTTTTCAGTCACTCTGAACAGAGAAAAGTCTTCTGCTGCCAAACTGATTTCTGTCTGGGATCTTTGTTGTGCTTGGTGAGTCCAACTTGTGTTGAAAGGTGAAAATGGCTCCACTTTCCCCACTGTTGAGCACTAAAGTGTCACTTTCGTGCTAATCTGGCCCCGTCTTGCAACACCATTGACAGACACCAGAAGCTGACTCAGAAATATCTCTAACCAACAACAGACAATGTCCAGAAAAAGCTTTTCCCATTAAAAAGTTAAGAATTCCCGGAGAGGATTTTGATATCTTAAGTTGGATCTTTGATCAGTATGCTTGATTATCCATCACAAAATAGTTTCATAATGAACACCTAATTCGCACCTAAAATCTACCAACAGCCGGACTTTGAAGTTTTGTCCAGACAGCAGACAAGATGGATCCCTCAGATACTCTCAAATCATCAGAGAAACATTTGAACATTATAAACCATTGTAAAAGAAGTAAATAATTGATGGCTTTAACCTGATGATTAATCACAAAACCCACACACTTCACTGCATCTTGCACCCTGCAAAATGTGTGAGTGTAAGAACACTTGAACGCACCCTCATTGACCTTGTACACGCATCGAGCTCTTTCTGCTGTCTTTTTCCCAACATCAACAGACTAGAACTGTGTCTGTCTCACCTGGAAGGCCACAATCAGAGTCTTAACATGAGCGGACATGACAAAAAAAAAAAACGGTGCGTTTGCCTAAATGCATCTAAAAAAGCCTTTCTCCTCACAGATGTCTCTGCGGTGCGTCTCCCTGCCGCGTGCGAGGGGTTCTGCGGCAGCCCTGTGATCGCGCTGACCCAGAAAAGCACTGAGACAGAGAGCTGAGGCTCTGCCGGATGACAGAAGGAGGGGGAATCCAGCAGCTTTGCCCAGCACTCTGTCAGCATCAACACCCCCACTCTCTGACGAGGTGCTGCAGGACTCTGCGGCTCCAGGATGACGACCGGCATCAATCAAAAGTTCCCCCGTTCACACCTTCTGAAAAACAATTTATGAATCATCTAAATGCTCTGGCAGCGTCGGTCTGCTGCTACGGGATATGCTTAGCTCATTCCAGTTCAAAGTGAAACAACACGACACAGTGCTGTAAAAGGAATTACAGCCGTGCTTTTTTTTTTTATACATTTCCATCATCCTCTGTGTGCTGTCGTATTTCAGAGCCGGATCAATAGTTCTGCAGTGAAATTAGACACGGCGACTGGAATAAAAACGCAATTCATTTTTACATCTTCAAAATTTGTATTTTCATAATTGAGCGCGTAACTCGCTAAACTAACGGAGATACATCAGGGAGGTAACGGAAACCAAACCAGCACGCAGCCCGTCGGGGGCCCGAATGGAGAAGAGAAGAATGGAAAACAAGGCGCTCGCATCTGAATGAAGGATAAGTCACACACCCACTCAAATCTGTACTTCAGAGCATGTTATCTTAAAAGATCAATCAAGGAAGAACCCAGCATATTGTCTTTGTGAAAACATCCTTTACTCCACGGCAAGTCAATTAACCTCATTAATTACACCCAAAGCTCCCCTTCAATGTGCAAAATACACTCAAGTGGTTTGTCCCCCAAGTATCCTCTGTCCGCATTATTTACCGGCTGATGATGATACCTGACTGAAATTCACTGAGAGTAGTGGGAAACTCAGGGCTCATGTGGACTGCTGAGAAAAAGAGCGTCCAATCATAAACAGAAGTCAAACCTGACAGGAGCCTCAGACATTTGAGCTTGGACTTTTTTCAGACGTATACATCGCAGCCCGCTAGTTCCTTCTTGAAGTAACCTAAAAAAATTACCCACCAACTCCTAAGGATTGAGCATGGAGCCATTTGTTCATCTTGTTCATCAGAACATTTGCTGTTGTAGGTTTATGAACGAGAGAAGGCAACAATAGAAAAGCGACTTTCAAAGGCTGTAGGTTTTAGACCAGCCCAGATTTAACTTCTTAGCTCTCTGGAGATCCGTATTCATTTGCGATTAAACAATTGGATTAAGCCGTAGCTCTGTCCAACGAATGAACATAATCTTTTTTCCACAAAGGAATGAAAGTGGCATTCTGGCTGTGTTTGGTTTGGGGCGAGTGTGTTGAGTTATTGGGTTATTGCACCACTTATGCACCCTTTAGCCAAGCCACCAGTTATAACTGCATATAAAGATGAAAAAAGCAAAAAAGTAACACATGAAATCGAGAACAGCCTTTTGACAGTTTGCATACTTCACAACCATTGTAATAACAAAAAAGACGAGAACTAAGATTTATTCACTGTAAGGGGAACAACGACTATTTAATTTGGTCCTGTTATCTTCTTTTTCACACCGAGGATTAGTTCTGATAACACAGAAACTTTTGCTGAAGTCAAGTGTGTAACCTCTAAGCTCAGCTCATGAAGACATTTTTCTTGTTCCATCAAAGAATGCATTTACCACTAAACGTCTGAAAGTATGACACAAACTGATGCCAGTGTACTTGCAATATCAGCTACTGACTTTCTGCCTCTCCTTCGTATCATTCATTTTGTTTCAGCAAGCTCGACCTCAGTAGAAAATAGCTTTTCATACAGTTGCTATGCAGCAGCTTCATCAGACAGAAATACTGTTCCAACGCACAAAAGCTAAACGAGATCTCCCATAATTCCCACTTATTCTCAGCATAGTTGTTTCTTTTTTTATCACAATCAACTTTCACATTATGGACAACTTTGTTTTAACAGGTAGAAAGAAGAGATGGGCAATATGAATTAACAGAGAATTAAAATAATTTCCTAAAATAGGTTTTCCAGGTAATGGGGCATGATGTGTTTCTTCAAAAAAATTCATGCATCTAAATTTCCCACAAGCAAACAACACTGCAAGTCTTTTTTCAAGGTATGAATAGATATCACACTCCTTTACCCAAAGTTGTGGTGTCATCATGACCATCTCAGGCAGGACTGGTCACCATGGCAACCAATATGCTTGAGTTAAATGATAATTTACCTGAATTTGATCACAGACCACGCAGATACTGATGCCCCTGGACTTGGTGACTCACGATATGCATATGTCGTATCTTCTGGTCGGTTTGACTTGTCACAGAGTCCCAGAATTTGTTTATTTTACAGAACCACACTGTAGCAATGTTAGGTTAAAGAAGACCTTGGCTCAAGACAAAGGCAGTACCCAAGCACACCGGTAAACTACACGGCTATGACAATATATGGCCGTAAACTATATTTACAGCTTACGATCTGAATGTGTGTGGATGAAGCAACCAGGTGCTGTATTTATAGAGCCAGTGAGTAATGACCCTAGTATGCCAGGACTCAGGAGCTGTATCTGTAATTAAGCACACTTAGAGCAGGCAAAGCAAAGAAGAAGAAATATAGGAAAACAGATTTTGCCTAATCATTGGCAGTCCTCAAGATGCGCACGTCAAATCAGCAGCACTCACCAACAAAGACAGGGTAAGATAAGCTTGTCCTTTTCCTTGGAACTGGCAAACAATTGCAACACAGTGAAGGCTGTTTTAGTAAATGATTCACCTATACTGAATTATTTTGAGCTCCAAAATAAGCATATTTATCGTATTTTAAGGTGAGATGAATCATCCTGAACCTACATATCGGTACTGATATGAACCAGTGGACTAAGGCCCATCAGTCACGCATCATAGAACAATTTACTTAAGTATATCAAACAAAAATATCTTGTAGCTTGGAGCCATTGTTTGAATGTTGTGTGTCACTGATAACCATCACTGTGAGGATATAAGCTTAAAGTTGGCAATGAGTGCAGCTGAGAGTAGCTGCTCTCTAAATTGTGGAAGAGGAGCTCACAAGTTCAGATGTAATTATGATATGAAAAACTGTTAAGAAAGCTGACAACTGAGCCTGTTGGCTTGAAATTAAATGTCTTTTTTTATGCATAAACGTTAAACGAACATAGCAGGATTCTGAATTCAAAGGAAAAATTCCATGTACTTACTTAATCCCCCCCCCGACCCCCCCACCCCCACTACATAAAAACTAACAAGAGAACATAAAAATATTTTATTAGAGTAGTCAGAATATGCATGTTCCCCATTTCCCATGAATTAAGCTTAGCACTATGAGAGTGAAAATACATGTTTCAAACTGCAATTCAAGCTAAATAAGCCTGTGGCCCTATGATTGAAAAAAAAAAAGCTCTCGTGGCTTTATCTTGTACCAAACATAAACACACAGTTTACTGTACCATCATCATATATCGAGTGGCGTGTTTCCCAGAGGGTCAGCTCAGAAATAGATCTTTGAAAAGAACATGTTGTCCCAAGCTACGGAGAGGAGAACAGGAAAATTCCACCCACAGATTTAGACCCGGTAGGCCTCAGTGGAAACGAGAATCAGGCAACAGAAAACATCTATTTCAGCCACAGTGGGACAACTGGGGCCGTTGCTTCCGGATGCTCTTCCAAAAGTAACAGACAGACTGTCCACTCAGTCACATTTGTCTGATGTGTTGTTTAGAGAAGTACATTCCATCGAAATCAGTTATTTGGCAGGAGCTGATGAAGTGCTATAGAAAGAACAAGGCACAGTTGTAACAGAGTTTTTATCTCAGACTAAAACCAGCCAGAGTTGGTGCACTCACTGGTTACATCTCTGTGTAAATATGTGTATGTCGGTGATATATATATACATATTATAGCTGAGTGCATCAATTTATCACTGATAGATAATGAAATATTATCCTAATGTTATCTTACTGTGACTCTCGTAGTTTTATGAATAGAACAGAAGACGAGGTCCTTCCTGCTAATTCTTGCCTTTATTTGTCTCTACATCATATATCAGCATGGTCATCAGAGTCTAGTCTAGTCATCCTCTTCCCCCTTTACTTCATCGTTTTATTATATAACAAGTTAGGTCATTCCTATCTTCTTTGCCATCTGATAACTCCAAATCTTAGTCTGTACTCATCTGTCTGGTAAAGAATCTTCTTATGATTAGTTCTGTCTCCAGCACCAGTCTGATGGCCTTGGTATCATCAAGTATGATAGGGAGACTGTGGTGTATTTGGTGTGTTTGCTGCAATTTCGCTGCAAAATAAACTCACAAAATGATGATAATTCAAATACCATGCTTTAACTGCTTCAAAGCAAATCATCATTTTATCTTAGAAAAATAAATGGTCATCATGAAGAAGAAGGAAAGAAGAAAATGTATGATTTTAAATCTATAAATCATGCTTGCCAGCCTATTCTGACGAGTGCATAATAGGTGAAAAACACTAATTTACTGTAACGCTGCTTCCTAAAATACATAACTAACACAAAAACGTTTGGCCATCATCAAAGATAAAAATGAATGGATTCGTCACTTTCAGTGAAGCTGCATGAGTAAAATGATGTTGTGAAAGAATCCATGTGACCTTATAAGTGCACCCTGCACTACGTATACCCCAAAGGAAGCCAGACTTTGCTCTGATTTTTACTCCAATCACATGCATAAATACCATACTTACAACTAATGCATTGCCATAGATGTTTAGCTGTACGTATATACATTCACATGGCAGCATTGCTCAAACAGAGAGCAGGACAGGACATTTTGTGGAAGTTTCATAAGGCAGCCAGAGGTAAGTGGAAAAAAAGAGAGACCTTTTGCCTTGGCCATGGTGCAAACAGCGAAACGCCCACCAACTGTCCTCATCTCTGTCATGCACTGTCTCTAAGTATGATTTAATCTGCTGTCACACACCCACACCAGATTTGGTCACACCTCTGAGGCTCTCATTACTCAGTTTCTTCAAGGCATGCGGCATGCTGCTGTTTTACTTTTTCTTTTGGTACGTGTGGCTGAAGAGTTTAACACTGAGCCACTGCCAGCTAATGTATGCAGGTACACACTTCATCGTGTATCACATAAAAAGAGGGGGTCATTAAAAACTGTGAATAGTTAAGAAGAAAATTTTCATTTTGGAACCGCGAACTTGGTTTGGAATTTGAAGTTCGGAACGATAATGTAAAAACTAATTCAGTATAATTACATTATATATATATTTGGGGTCACCTTTAAACTGCCCCCTGTGAAGTGCGGAATTCCAGAACCCCAAATATCCTACAATCTTTTCCAAAGAGGAAGCACGTGATGTCCTGGGAATGAGGCTGGTTTCAAGATATGTAGCTATGAATTTATCTAACATGCAGCATGATTATTAACCAGGGCTCCATCTGAGCTTCTTAATATTGAATTGATATTTTTATCTGGAGCAAACAACGGTAAAATATCTTCTGCCTCCTAAAAAGGGCATCAGGCACATCTTCAGGAAGCTCCGTGGTCATTGGAGACTTGTGCACCGAGGCCTGAAAGAACTGATGACTGGTCAAGAATGGACAACAGGGGAGTCGTGGAGGTAGAGTGTGAGCACTGTATAACAGCTGCACACAAATTTAACCAGCAGCAATTTATGGGGAGGGTCACCATATGTGATCCCTTGGGAGGTGGCCTCAGCTGGAGAAGGCTGCGCGGGGACGGACGGAGAAGGCAGGCTAGCAGAAATAGTAGTAGCTCTGTTTCCTTGGTCGGTATCTTTGTCTATCTGTGTCTTTTTTTGTGTGTTTCTTTTAACCGGCACACACAGTGGAGCACTATTTCACTGCAGGGTGTGAGAAAGACAGAAGCGTTGAGCACAAAAAGAAGCTATAAAATCCTGATAATGAGTCCACGGAACAAAATGATAAATGATTGCAATGAAATCAGAACTGGTTTTAATGACAGCATAATGAAGATGGGTGAAATTGAGGGTGCGAGGAAAGACCCAGAGAACATGAAAGTCTGAGCAGAAAAGAAAGCAGCCGATGTAATGAAAGTGGTAGTAGGGAAAAATCTATATAAGACAGGGAGAGATGGAATGTTAGTCCTCTCTGCTGCAATAAGCCTCCAGCAGTGAGGGTAAGAGGCAGAAAGGCCCGGTATTCCTGACAAAGCCTTATCTCATCTTCAGCCTGGAATAAAACCCATTTTCCAGACTCAAGACAATAAAGCACAAGGTTACCAAACCTCACACCCGTGACACCCCTATTTAGAAAGAGGCCTTGGTCAAACATAAAAATGCATAACACCATCACCACACAGAGCTGGTACATGACACCGGCTCTTAGCTTTCTGTGTCGGTGGGTGTATACCTGTGCTTTGTGATGATGCTGCAGAGCTTTAATGCCTTTGGGAATTCGCACAACCGCTATCTTAATACATTCTACAATGTGCTAATTTGCTGCTTTCTGCTGCATTTCCTTCTTTCTGTTCACACATTTGGGGGAAATAATATATGAACAAGTGTATGAAGCATAAAAAAATTCAAGATTGAGTGGCAGGCAAAGCAGGTCAGGGAGGAAAAATAAACCCTTCTGGCCTCATCAAAGACACTCTCCAGCCACTCTGTTTGAGGCAAGGCCACTTCTCTACTACAGGGGGGGGGGTATGTTTAAGGTTTGCATGCTGAAGGTCATGGCTTAAAACATAGAAGCCAACAGCACCTCAGACACAACGCTAAGGTTGTCAAACCAGACGCTTTTTTTCAAACCAGCCAAGCCTCCAGATCCTGTCCATGAACATCAACATGCAGGCAAAATCAGACAACACCAGGACCAGAAACTGAAACTCTGTTTTAGTCATTATAAGTAACTATTCTTTTTCTGGGGGGAAGAAAAAGTCAAACTTACCATTTATTTTAAATGTTGAAATGTGTTTACTTTCCTTGTTATTACTTTAGTTCAGTTTAGGGTTGAGTAAATAATTGAGAAAATGATGAGCAAATGAATGACGGTAAAAACAATCTGCAGCCTGACATTTTGAGCCTCACCTCATCAGTTACAACGGTGACCAAAAAATTCATTCCATCTACACTATTATGTATCATTCCATTTACACAAAGATATGTCAGGTCCAAAATGTAGAAGTGTTTAAATGGCGGAGGGGGATTTTGGTATCGTATGGCTGTGGGGATTTGTCACTTTGTTCGACATATTTCTAAATGTTTATAATCTATAATCAAAGAAGAAATTTAAATCGTGTTATAAAACCAAGTTTGATAGGTCTCAAACTTGTTGCTTATTATGAATGTCAGAGACCTAACACCATACATCTTTTCCTTCAGAGCATCCCAATCAAAATGTGCAACGTGCGAGGCAAATGAACGGTATCATCACATGGAGGTTAGGATGTGGTTGGACATCATAGAATAAGATGAATATCTATTAAAAAAAACTGAAATGAGACTTTGCAAGTCCAGTACCTTTTTTGGTGTAGCCTTTTCTATGTTGTACTGTCCAATCAGTCATACGTATTGTTATAATATAATACTTTTGGAATCAGAAGTGTATCATTTCGTGATAAAAACCTGGGAAGGTGTACTTTGTCTTTTCAAACTTCTCTTCATGTCAGATACGGTGCAAAGCTCCTGATTGCTATGCTAATGTTTTGCGAATGTGAGTTGTTTGTATCAAATTGTTGAAATCTGTTGGATATAACAATGATCTCTCGGTTGATTGGAACCCTTTAGGTTTCAGAGGTTGCCAGAGAAACTTTCAGGCAACACGAGTGGCAAATCTGCCACTCAGCATGAAGCTCACAATTAATCCTTGAAACCTGAATGAAAACCTTGGGGCAAAATGTCATTTTATGTCAGGTCATTAGGAAAAAAACCAAAGAGTGATTATAATACTTTAATTGCAATGTACCAAGCTCTAAAAGGAAATGGCATTTCGTCTTTCTTTTTTCCAGTGGGTACCTTTGTTTGGACAGCCCACTGCCACTCATTATGAACAACACGCTGCAACTCCAAATGAAAGTCACACACAGTCGGAATCCACAATGGTCATATTTCACTTTTGTGATATATTTGTTGTTTTTATTTTTCTGCTGGATGATCACCAACAATCACCCCTTTTAAGAACATGTTAGAACTCCTAAATACAAGTGTACATGTTTTCTTTGAATCTGTCAAATGGTCAAACATGCCCCGAAGCGTGCATGTTTGACTACTTCCCGTTCGGATTTTCCCCCCCGTACTTTGAAGTGAATGTAACACCCTCATCATCATCAAATGGATTTGGTAGGATGAGCAGGCACCCTCAGGATAATTCCGTACGCAACGCACAATAATGTAATTCTCCTTTGTCTTAATGTGTGACAAGTGCTTCCCATGGTCCTTTCATCCTTTTGTCCATACATCCATTTCAGAGCACAGGATAGTGAAGCTTCGCCTGAGGTGACAAGGAAACAGAGCTGGTGTGAAGATGGAGGGATCGAGAAGAGCAAGAAAAGGGATTTGGAAGGGGCAGAAAAAGACAAGATGCCTTTGTCCGTTGCTCGGAGGTAGCCCACGAGTCTTTCAGATTCCTGTCTCATTCTCTAACAGAAAGGGCGTAGAAAAGTGCAACGACCAGAACGACAGAGGAGCACACTCCAGCAAAGGGAGGGTGATTGAGGCTAACATTTGCCCAGAGCTAATGCCTGCCTGATTTCATTTTTTGCAGATCTTATCTTTCTGTGTCCGTTTCACTAGGCACACACGAACAAAAACACAAACACGGACATGAATAAAGATTAGCACCATTTTGCAAAAAGAAGAGAGAGAAAAAAAAAAAAACGCTTTGTTTTTTGTCATAGCTGTGCAAAATGGGTCAGATCATCCAAAACACGGTTGGCATCGCGTACAAGTTGTTGCTGTTCACAGAGAATTAAAAGCAACGACATGCCAAGTACACTAGGGTTGAAAATGTATGCTTAAACGCCAACATTTGGCTCAGACATTGGCATCGTGTGGCCGTCCTCTTCAGGGCCTAATCTTAGTCATAGGAGGGAGATGTGTGAAACGGCCACCACCCATCTGCGGACAAAGCCTCTGTGGCCTCCCCAATCAAATGACACGGATGTAGTCAGCCAAGCTCTGGCTCTGACCAACTATTTTAATTGCTTGAATCACTGTAACGAGATAGTGGGTAGGATGCCTGTCAGGAAAGGACGCTTATCTAATCATTCAAGAACTATTCAGCTCTGGGAGAATCTACACAATTAGCGCCTTTTAGAACATATTAAGATTGGTCTTGTGCAAATTTCCAAAGGCAGTGTGGGATGATGGCATCATTTAAAAATGTTGGCACTTAATTCTGGTACAGCGAGATATAACCCTTCTATTTTCATTGAATAAGATTACAAATAAGTTAGCTTTTTTTGTAGGGGTAAATGACATTGGATGGCTAATCAAACTATATTTGCTTCAATAATAAACAACCCTAACCCTAATCCACACATACTACTTCTACACAATACCATAAATAGCTCCCAGGCAGAGATAACATAGATGTGGGGGTCAAGCTCAAGGTGTCCCACATTCCAGTGTTTAGTGTTTTCATTTGTTTTGTCAGAGATGATCTTGTTTAACTTACGTGCCACTGGAAAAATCATCACATCCACTCTCATAATGGTCCAAACAGCTGGCTGCCGGGAAGATTAAAAAAACTATTTGCACATTCCAAAAATGCTTAAGTAATGATTTTATATTCCCTCATCAGTTCATCTTCAAACTTAATATTAAACTTGCTAAAAATGTCATGGTTCCATCACAGTAATAGAAATGATAGTATATGTTTCGCAAGAAAATACAACTGTGTGTTTATCAGTTTTCCCACCCATAAAAAAATATTCTCAATACCATGTTTTAATAAGGAGGGGCATTCAGTAAACCAAAAAAAACAGATACATTTGCTTCAGACATTTTTCTTCAGGTTTTTTATCTTATTAAGATAGTCAGTGATAAAGCACTCAGATCCTGCATTTCATCTAAACAGAACAAAATAAGCTTTCTTCTCAAAAGCATAGGATGAATAACATGGGATGAATGAGAGCAGTAAAGGCATCATTTACCATCATACCTTTCTGCTCCCTGAACAGTCATTACTTAAGAATGTGTTTTTTCAGAAGATGGCTGTTTGTTTAGCTAAATGTCTTTCAAAGAGAATAAAAAAACAAAGACACAAAGACATTTTCAAACCTAAGTGAATGGACTATAATATTTCTTCCAGTCAGCTGCATGTCATAATGCAGAAAGATTTATTACAACCTGCATCTTTCAAAAGTATCGTGCTTAGTGCATGATTTTCATGTTTATATAAACTTTTCCATCTGCAGTGTGTTATGGCTTAAGGATTTCTTTCCAAATCGTGATGTCAGACAGATGGCGCGTCATAGGTAAACCATGTGGAGGAACCAGAAAAAAAATAATCCTGATTACTTGCTGGGAGGGTTGTACTGTTTGGCTCCACTGTGATAAAAAGATGAAACAAGATAGTAGCATATTTATCACAGACTGAGAAGAAATACAGCCAAAGCAAAAGATGCCATAGAATTTCACTTAGCATGCAATGGATTGACTCCCTGTCAATCTGGAGCTACCCGTGGAGGTTGGTGAGTCCCAAGGAACCGGACTAACCTGAGATCAAACTGAAGTAACACAGCAGAAGGAAGGCCAAGAGGCTAAGGCATGCTTTTTTTTGTGTAGCCACAGTCTGAACTGGTTATTGATGGCTATATCTTACATTTAAATCAACAATAATATGAACATGCCCTTATTCACAAACATATGGAAGTGGGATTGGCTCTGGGATTTCATTTAGTCATTGGAAGTCTAAAAGATTGTATCGCCAGTGTTCCAGGCATCGAAGAGACACATTGATCAGTCCATCACAGATGTACATCTCCCCTTTAAGAGACAATTCTGCATCTCCATAAATGGGATTAGACGATCCAAAGATAGTTTATTTTTAAACAGAACTATCCAGCTCACTCCAATGCACCCAGACACAGCTCTTTATACTGCATTTCTTAGGATGCTCAATAGCTTTGTAAATAATAATTAATCATTTGCTTATGAGACAAGAATTGATTGAGCCGATGAAGAACTACATGAATGATGTGAATTTGAAATATATATTATCTGAATAAGAAATGTTATTTTAAAGGTAAGGAGATAAAATCATGTAGCAGATGTTGTTTTACTCCACTCTGTCCTTATATATACACTCGTCTAACAAATTGGAATTATTTGTGGTTTGCATATTCCACCTCAGCTCATTCTCAACCAAATTGTAGGTTTGTAAAAGTCCTGGCAATATATCAGAAACTAGATGCTAAAATTAGCTTGGACTTCTTTATTTTTGTTGCTTGATTGTGTTCAATCGTCAGAATCTGATTCCCATTTTGTATTGATTCATCTTTACAGCCTTGTGTGGTCCCTCATGTAACTGTGTGGACAATAAAAGGCTAGTTGCTGTGTGATTACCTCCCTATGAAAAAAGCTGTTTGTGCCCACCAAATTGAACAAACAGAACTGCTCCCCAGGATAGCATTCATTACACTCATGAAAGCTACATCCCTAAAAACTACTAAGCCACAAGCTGGGGAAATGAATGGATTTTAAAAACCTTGAATGATAAAAAACCTTTAGTTAAATTTTCTAGCAAATAGTTTGGCAAGTATCCTGGTAACACAGTAAAAAAAAAGGTAGGCGGAAATACAATGCTTAATTTAAGGTTTAAAAGCTTTACAGCTCAGAAAAGGCACCGATTTACACAAAATGTCTATAAATATTATTGCTTATTACTTTCATCTTAAAATTGATTTCCTTTTGTTTACATCCACAACTGGCTGTAAACGGAATTGCCGTTTCAACCTATCATGGAGTGTTACAGCCAATGAAAATGAACTGTGATAATTGCAAGCTCCCTTTATGTGCCATTGCCAAAAATACCTCTTGAATGCATGATAGGCCTCTGTTTCCGTCATCTGTGCTCTGAAGCAGGAGCCAGCAAAGAGCACTTGCAGCAGTCAGTTTGCACGTAGAAAAATAGCCCCTCTTAGCTGGTATTATTTGACAATGATGAAATGTTGGCTTTGTGTTTTCCTTGAGGTGCTGGAGACAGTGCAGAAAACTGTAAAATGGTGATGGAGGTTGAGCTCCTTCCCCAGAATTACGGTTTAAGTCCAGCAACCTGCTGTTTTTCTTAGGGAGCGCGCGAGAGTCCGTCTTTGTGTGTGAGTGTGTGCATTTTGTGTGCGTGTTTGTGTGCCCGAAGAAGTCTTTTATCAGATGTTGGCAGAGTGGAGCACAGGCAGATCGATAGAGCTTTGGCCTGAAACAGGGAGACAGTACCTGTATCTCAGCCGGCCTCCACCTTTCCTCTCATTGATCTTCATTACCTCAACAGACTGGAGCTCCAGCTTGGGGGAGCTGCTCACAGTTGCCAATACACACACGAGCACCCCGACTGTCTGCTTTCTGCTCAATTGTACACTGTGTCTGCGAAGAGTTTCGGTAATCTCCAAGACTTTGTAGAGGTTTTAAGCGTAGACAGACAACCACTCATTACGTTCAAGCTGAAACTAAACAAGACAGCAAACATTGCATGCAGATTTTAAAAAGAGGTTTTTGTTGTTTTTCTTGTTTTCTAGTTCTTCCCAGAACTTGACGTCAAGCAAACACAACTTCAGATGAAAAGTAAAATATTGAGAACATTTAAAAACTGAGTGCACACATACTGCTTCCACGGGAATTTAGAGGGAAAGTCTCAACCAGGTGCGGCATATCAAATGCCTTGATTAATCAAAGTTGCAATCTCCATGCATAAGGACCTCATTAAGAGAGGAGATTTAGGCAGTTTGCTGCTCTGGCGTGTTCCGATGTGTGTCACTGAAAGAACCAGGAGAAAAGTCGTCTTAGAGAAGAAATTGTTGCCTCTGACTCATATCGGAAATGGAGAAATATTCCAAAAAGTGAAAAAGTTTCAAGACTGTCATTCTGTCCTGGAATGGATTTCGCAGCAAAATGTTCAGAGAGACTGTTAAAAAAAAGAAAAGAAAGGAGCACTACGTCTCAGACTCTACACACCACGGTTAACAGGTCAAAGGCCAAGTGTGATGTTACAGAGTGACTTGTTTGGGAGTGTTTCCAAGGGGAAAAAATCCTTGTTGCTCTAAAAAAAAGTTATGCCAACATAGATTATGATTGTAACAAAATCTACTGTGGGTCTACTGTGGTGTATTGTGGAGCTGGTCGTCTTCAAATAGCTGAGGTGAAGATAATGCAGGAAAAGACCATGCTGAGACAGACTTGGTTGAACAAAGGAGGTTTTTATTGTCAGCCAGGTCCGTATCAGAAGTACAGATGGATGCATCAAATCTGGAGAAGTATCAAAGTCGAATGTCCGGGAAAGCCTGACTCTGGGTGCGGTCCTTGTTTTATCCAGTGTTTGCACCTACCCATATTTGGTCTTCCTTCAGGTCTTAAAATGTCCATCACACTGACTCATCCTTACTGTTGTCACTATGGGTCTGGAAATGATAGCTTGTCCTCCCATTTTTGGGTAACCTTGGGTCTGTACGTCTCCGTTCCTAGTACTTAGCTCCTCTTGACGCTATATCTCAAGAATGTGCTTATTTCAGGTAGTGATGTTTTCCAGCAGGACAGTCTGTACCTTTCTGTGGGCTTCAGACGCTACACGAGGCCATCAGAGTAAAGAAATGAGAGAAGGAGAGAAATTCAAGAGGGACCAAAGCCCACAGAACATAATTGAAGTAAAATAATGCTGTAAAGAAGAGGCAGCCAGAATTCCTCCAAATCCAAACACTGTGACCATGTATAAATTCAAAGGGCTAGAGTTGCTTAGTTATTTCCAAAAACAAAAAAGAACATTTGATGTAAACAGGGTTTACTCAAGCTCTAGTTTCCCCTAAATCCACTTAGGATTTTGTGTCTTTCAACAGAATTTTGTAATTGCTTCATCCAGTTCAGATATTGAACAGAATCAGCTGGACAATAACAATAACAATCAAGCGAGGAAAAGCTACATTTAGTCAGGATATTGTTTGAAATGCCTATATAATCCTTTAACAGTTATTAAACTCTTATAAACAGCCGAGACCGTTCAATCAACAAACGCAAACAAGTGGAAGCAGCGGCTTTGCCACATGCATTAGACGCTTTGTTTTCGCATTGCTGGCGTTTCTTTCCTTACCTTGTCTTCAAGGAGCCGGGCTTTTAATGCTCGTCAGGGAGAATGAGTTAGAAAGAAGGGGAGAAAGCATTGGGGGGGGGGGGGGGGGAAACACAACTGAGTCAAAGGTGCCTTATTGAATAAGCAAAGCTCTCAGGTGCCTTTCCCTTATTCTGACTGAGGTTAATTCAATTCTCCCCCCTGTCCTATCAAGCTTCATCTGGAAGTAGATGGCATCAAAGCTGAGCCGGAAAACACTAAATGATTGTAACTCAGTTGTTTCGGAGCCATTATTGATTGTTTGCCCGGAAAGAAGTTGGAAGATAGACAAGACACTTATTTTCTCCACCTCTCCCACCCTCGGTAATCACTTTTGAGATGGCTGCGTGTGTATTATACATGTCTGCACCTATTAGGATGAAGACGATTGTGTGCACCGAGCTTTCAACTGTGCTCGCAAGATGCTATTTGCACATAAAGCGCAAACGACGCACGGAGCAATTACAGATAAGAGGTTGGAATTGCATTAACAAACACAGACCACTCTTTGGTCGCACACATAAGCAGATGGGTATTTAATTAAGTGCCAAAAGCAGGTCATTTGGTCTGTTCCCACACACAAAACTGACAAAGTCAGATTCACTTTGCTTTTCCAAATTCTCGCTTGCATTGTGGCTAGGCCGTCCGCGGCATTGGACAAAGACTTGTTCCATTACAGTCTTCCAACGACCCTTTATCAAATCAAGTCTGCGAGAATTTTTAAATCTGCACGAGCACGCTGGGACACGAGAGGCTGGGATGAACTCTGCTGATTTTGCAATCCCAGGTAAAGCAGTTCAGCCTGTGGAAAAAAAAAAAAATTAAGTGTCGGCATGCTGAGGGACATGCTGTGGTATAAAAAAATTTAAAAAAAGATGGAATGTAGAGATCAATTTTTTTTTCTCATCAAAAACTTTGAAGAAGAAAATGAGTGATAAAGCAACACATGTTCACTGAAAATGGAGGGCCAAGCCACAGGGTCCATTTTCAAATGTTAACAGATGTCGTATTCGGTTTATAGAGGAAATCGAATGGCGGGAAGCTGTATGGCAACATCAAAGCCATGTTCAGAGCTCGTTTGGTCATGACCCATATCATTGTCAGCATTTGGACGTCGACATTTACAACATCAAATTTCTGGCCGCTCTCGTTTCAATTTGCCTCTTCCAATTCATTCAGCGTCATGCTTTACCAACCCTTGAAATGCACTTCAAATGAAAAGACCTATCAATTTAAAATTGAATTCCAATTATGCTAAATGACAAATAGAAGACCACACTCTCCCACTCTCTCTATCCGGGCTGTATGGTGAAAGCATTGGGGCTGGCCCTGGAAGAAAACTGTCCAATTTCTCCAGCTGTCTTTGTTGACGTTCTGCTACAACAGACTACTCAAAAGTAAGCCACGGGAAGCATATCTCTGGAATTAAAAGGCACAGCATGGGGCCAGGAGAGAAATGTGGAAAGAAGTGTGACGCGGGTAATGAAAAACTGGGTTGACCTGAAAGAAAACGCAAAAAAGCGGGACAGTAAAAACGCCTAAGACACATCAGTGCCACAGAAGGAAGGAAGACCAGCAGCGATCATCGATAAAACATCTTGAAAAGAAATGATGGCTGTTTGGAGAGCCTGAGAATGCAGCTCCGTTAGTCCTAGAGGACACATGGTGAACCACAAACTCAATCTCAAATTTCATGCACCTTAATTGTGGTGTAAAAATCTTGGCATTTGTCACCGACGTGATGTAAAACGGTTGGAAACTAGATCCGGTGTCTGCTAAATTTACTCAGCACTGAATAATGAAAAAACTGCTATGTATGGGCTGCTCTGGACTGAGATTTATGACTAAGAAAAGAGCAAGAAGACAGTGGAGAGCAGTGCTGTAATGAACCCCCATCACACTCAAAAGCAAGAGTACGGGCAGAGTGTACAATCCTGCTTGAAACCACCAAGTCTATCAACCTCCAAAATTTCCACAGGAAAATAGAACCTTCTCACCATGTATTGGAACATAAACTTAGTAAGCCCCATTTTCATCACAAAATGCATTTTTCAGACTTCTAGGCCTTTTAGGTAAAAGGCTGGTTGGCTGTTAGGGAGTAATAAACCATCCTGGGCTACAGACACGATGCACGAAAAGCACACCTACAATCTTTTACTCGAACAGAAAAAGTTGCCATTATCACTAAAGTTAAGATCGAATTGTTTTCCTAACAGGAACAGGAACATTCCAGAAAAGTTGTGTAGTGCTTGTTATTGCTGTTCAAGAGTGTCTACAAAGATGTGAAAATATTTTCATTCAATGAAGAAAAAAACTCAAAAAGAATTGTCTATGGAACTCTTAAGGATTATATCTTATATTCTTTGTTGAGCTCAATAATGATTGAGAGGCGCACTTCAGTGCATATCAATTGCCATCAAGATTACATTTTTAAAAGTGTATGTATACATGTTATTATTCATTTGCTTTTGACTTGAACGTTTAGTTTTTTATCTAATCTAGAAGTGAATTATCCCTGCAGTTCTTTCAGTGCAGGTTAATTGATACTCTTGTCATTCATTTGAGTCTTCTTTAACTATTTTTTATCTTGACCAGATGTTAAATCAGATATCAAGGCAGCAATTAAATGAACTACCCAAGTATCAAAAACATAACTCTCAAACTTTTAACGTAAGCCATTATTGAACTGATGGTTTGTGCAGACAACAAAAACAACAGACACAAGCTGGCAAAGTGAAAAACATTTTTGACACAAATTGGCAACTGATGCTTTTCCTTTTTAAAGATACCGCCGGTATACCTTATTATCGTATCACAGCCCGACCCTATAGATGACAGTAAACCACCGATCACATGTTGAATCTTATGGACATAATATCACAGATAAGTTTGACCAAGTGCAAACCCATACTTTACCTTAGTGTTAGAAAGGGAAAAACTATATTCAGACCCTGTCCTCCACAAAAACACTGTTTAAGCAATTTAACTGCTGTGCAACTGACAGGATGCTGAGAGCCCTCATCTTATTTGGCATGAGTTTTGTCTGGGTGGCATGAGTGGCTGACAACAGCTGCTTCACAGCATGAGCGTGAGAGCCGGAAACCCTGTTAATGCACACGTGAACGGGGAAATGTCTGGAGGAAAAAAAAAAAAAACAGGGTTCAAGTTACTCCTTTTGGAAGTGCTTGGTTTTATTTATTTTGTTGGGGTAGTGATGTAGCACGATTCTGCTGCGCCCACTTATATATTTCCCCCGGTGGTTTCTACAGTATTTTTTAACATTAGCGTTGTTCATCTGATAAGGAACCAAAGATTTTTACCAGGACGGTCCTCATCTTTAAGCACTTTATGCATAAAATCTTTTGTTTGTAGTAATAAAGCCTGTATGCTTTTGATGTGGCTTTGCAATTTTCCTGCTGTAATCATCTCATCTGAACTCAAACCCACCTCTTTATATCAATGCTCAAAAGCAGATAATAGTGGACTATTCAAAGTTGCTGTATTTTTTTGCCCCTCATCAGAGCTTTTGTGTCTCCCTTTGCGTTTTTCATGACAACCTGCCATCTTTTTTGGAGCTGCATATTCAGCCCATATTGTAACCACTGAAAAACAATCCAGACTAATGTCTGCTTGGATGTTGAGACGCTTGTGGGTGGCATCTCATTCTTGTGGGACTCTAAAGGATGGCATTGTGGGCTGGGTAAGAGCACAAACGTGACTGGTCCTTTTTCTAATCCAGTTCACAGGCTGTGACAGAAAATGCAAAAACCTATGAATTCCCACTCTTTTGCAAAGTTTTTTTAAATTTTTTTTATCTCATACCAATTATTATTTTCTGTAGCCGCGTTTCAAGTTGGTTTAAAAGCTCCAGTCATTACCTATTTGTTCTCCCCGCCATGTTCTCTCCATGCTGCCTCACTGCATGTATGGCATCTTGCTGAGTCATTTAGAGGCAAAGGGAATCACAGCTGAAAACTCATTACAGGAAAGTGTGTAGGGGAAAGAGAGACCCTGACACAAGTTATGAAGTGAGTGGCAGGGCTCATTAGCAGAAAAGTTTCACGAGTTTTGGCAAAGTTTTAGGAAAATAAATAGATTGAAAGACAGACAGAAGTAGGGAAAAATAAAAAATCTTTGCTGAGAAAAATAATATATCAGCCTTGCTAAATTTACTTCAACACCTGTGCTGACAAAACCCACTCATAAAGCAAAAGTAGTTTTCATCGCGCTGGTTCACATCTGTTGGACGAGTAATAAAAGCCCAGATGAAAACCTTTTTTTTTCTCCTCCTTGGTTACATTCATCTCCTTACACATGGAAAAGGTCAGTCTCATGAATGGAACCCCTGCCATTTTTAGCGCTGCTCTGAATGTGCTCCCCGTGAGTCATGTCTTTGAAACTCACCGTGAACGTGGATCATGATTCCACTCGTGGTTTTGTAGACGATCTCTCCTCCTCCGTCTTCATCACACACACACACACACACACACACAGACACACACACACCTCCAGTGTGCTTCGACAGCTGGGCCTCAGCCTTGCCAGTCACTTTAATTTCTACGCCGCGGAGCGGGGTGGAGTCAGCTCACATAAGCGTACTCCATTAGTCCTACAATCTTATGTTGAAGGCATAATCACCTAACTCTGCCGAGCATGTCATTCCGATTGCCGCGGTAATTAGAAAGCCCCCGTTCTGATTGACGGGACCTCACAAACAGGTCTGTGCAGACACACGCGTGTCGCATCCTTTTGCCAGGTTTTAGAACACGGAATAGGTACAGTAGTGTTCAAAAGCAGATCCATTCTGTCGTATATGTGTGGTGACATGTAAGTTGCCCCCCCCCCCCCCTCAGTTGCCTGCACTTTCCTCCCAGCTTGACTGAGCACACCTGCTTAGCATCATCTCCCCCTCCTGTGTGTATTCAGACAGCCTGCTTCCTTTCTCCCGTGCCAGTCCGTCTTTGTTCTACCAGCAAGCGTTCAAGCCTCTTTTTTTTCAAATCATCTTTATCTCCAGTGGCCTTTTGACCCATTTTTTTTAGCTTTTTGACTCTGCCTCGGCCCATTGTTTTGGATATCTCTGCCGTTTCTGACAGAATACCTGTGTACCGACCTTTGGATTGATATGAAACCTGTTGAGTTTCTGGAAACAGTCCCGGTTGTCATTTTGAGTCCAGCCTACCCAGCACTTTGTTAAATGTGTGGGCTGTGCCATTTGAAACTGAATACATCAAATTTTGTTGTATTTGTATGCTTGTTTCGTTTGATAGTTTGGTCAAATTCAGAAGTCTTCAGAAATAAATCGTCACTTTGGGCTCTCTGCCTGGTTAAATGCTTTCCAAAAAAATGTTCAGAGGAGTTCAAATCACCTTATTGATATCACTAGGGACTGTCACAACTTGCATCTTTTGATGTACAAAGGTCATGTGTGCAGCTTTACTGCCAGTTTATTTTCAATTAGGAGGCAAAGGTGCCGCAAAATAAAATTGTTATTTAGTTCTGTTCCATCTGTGTCTTTAGCCTATCCAGAAGTTGGCAGAACTGTGATGTGGGACACTAGTTTCTCCTCTTTTTTTGTTTTTATATGTGGACAAGGAAATAATTTACAAGATGCAGTAATGGAACCTTACAAGATCTAACTGATATGCCATTGGATGTTGTCTGTAAGTTGCAATATGAATGATGAGCTATGAATTTGATGTAAGGACTTATGGAATTGGTGCACCTTTGACCTTTTAGCAACCTCACAAAAGGGATAATGGAGTTCTCTACACAACCGAAGGATCATTTGTATTCCATTCCCAGAATAGTACCATCTATGTTAACCAACCCTTACTAAGTAGGATGGAGAGTGCTGGTGATACTGCAAGTGAAAAGTCTAAATTGATTCAAATGAACTAAATACAGATGGGATTCTTCTCCACCTCCCCTCTAGCCTCTTAAATGAGAGCAATATAGCTTGTTCAACATAAATATTTCATAAAGACACCAGCAAGCATCACGTAATAAAGCAGAGAAACCTAAATAAGTCATTATTTACTATACAAGTAAAAAGCAGTATGGTTTTAAGAGTCTGATGAACTGTTGCCCATGAGGTCACTCATCTTTAAAATGCTGTTATGCTTTTCACTTATGCTTACGTTTATGCATTTAGCAGAGGCTTTTATCCAAAGCGACTTACAGAGTAGACACAATATTACATTTATCATCACTATGACAATAAGCTAAACAGAGGAGTCAGTGGTGACAGCAAGAGATAGAGGTAGAGGGGACCACAGAAGGAGTTGTGGGGGGGATAGAGGTACGGGTTAGGATTAGGATAGGAGATGCTCTTTGAAGAGGGGGGTCTTCAAGAGTTTCTTGAAGACAGACAGGGACTCTGCTGTTCTTGTAGCGCTTGGTAGGTCGTTCCACCATCTTGGAACGACACATGCAAACAGTCTGGATTGTCTTAAGCGTGGTGAAGGCACTGCTAGACAACAATCCATTGATGACCGGAGTGATCGAGTTGTGACATAAGCCGTACCCTTAAGCACTTTGTAGGCTAGCATCAGGGACTTGAATTTGAACTTCTGGATCATTTGTAAAGGTTTTACTGTACAGGCTGGGAGACCAGTCAGGAGTGCGTTGCAATAGTCAAGGCGGGAGATGACCATAGACTGCACCAGGAGCTGGGTGGCATGTTGTGTTTAGTGATGCGAAGCGACAAGATCGAGAAACAGAGGCAACGTGATCTTTAAAGGTCAGCTGGTCATCAATCATGACACTTTACTTATTCCCACAGATGGCTTGTGAGATAACTTTATTTGTAGTTGGTGTTCGCTGTGTCTCAATAGAGGATTTTTGGGGCGTCACTTCGCCTCCGGCCAGCAGAGGGCAGCAAACTCAGACCGTCGGCGCTAAAACCGTAGAAGAAGAAATGATGTAAACAAACAGGACTGCTCGCGTTACCACGGATTAAACCCTGAATTTTACGATTTTAGGCTCACATGATGTTTCCGTTCGTATTTTAGTTTAGCTGGTGATCCTAGGTTTTTACAGAGGAAGTTAAAAGGTCCAGTTGAAGCTTTGAATTTCGGTTTGACGGCTCATTACGGCTCTAAAGGCCACAGTTTCTACGTGAAAAAGCCAATTTAAGAAATAAGGAATCTGTTGACGGGAATCCTGCCGTATCTGGGCGGTGAGGAGACGGTGAAGGAGCTGAGGAGGGCTCTGTCCAACCCCAACCCCAACGTCCCCGGTCCCGGGACCGGGGCCGGCCCCCCCACCGGACCCGGTACCCCCTTACCGGTAGCCGGTCCCGGTAGCCCCCCCACGGCCCCCAGTAGGCCCCCCACCGGACCCCGGCTCCGGCCCGGGTAGGGGCCACTATAACAGATTACAACAGTCAGTCTTTATTGTAATTAACTTTCCAAAAGTACTTAAATCAATGGAGATCGGAAGGATTGAAACTGGATACTTAAGGAGTGGATTGCTGCACCAATCGATAATAGAAGCCCCCAAAAGACCGGTTACTCATCTACAATATCTATCAACATTAGCATTTGTTGTAGATGCACTTAGCATCATCCTGCATTTGATTTTTAGGTGAGAAAAAAAACTGGATGCTTTGATTCATCTCCAAGGTAATTGAAGAAAAGTTTTGAATAACATCATGCATTTTTTATTCAATGAGAGGTTACATGATAATAAACATGTCAATTAATGATCTAATACATTTTTCATGGGCATACTATATCAATTATAAAAAAAGACGTTAAATTTGAATAACCTACAGTTACAAAGTCAACAATTACATTGTGAAACCCAAATGAATAGTCCTCCAATTATCAACGTATTAAAGAAATTACAGACTATTGGCTGCAAACACAAAATGACATATTTCATGCTCTGGCAATCAGTGAAAACAATGTAATGAAGTTTGATATGCAGCTCAGTGCTCCCCAAACACCACATTCCCGTACAGAAAAGAGAGGTTGCTCTCTGGAATAGCAAATGTTGAAATGTTGTTTCTGGTTGAAATTCCTACTCTAAAATTCATGATGCCATTCTACTTTTCCAAAGATTTTTTTTTTTTTAAATGGACAATTTTTGTTGAACTGAATTATGAAGACGAATCATTAAACAATGAAGACCACAAATGAATCTGTTATGTGTTGTGTCTATTTTCCTGGCGTGGTACATTGCTGTGAGCTTTTCTAAAAACATTCAGTCTGTGATGCTCAGTTAAGGTTAAAAAATGGGTTTATTGTTGGTTGTAAAATGTTCCTCAAAGCGTCGTCCTTTTTACAGATGTACTACAGTCCTGAAGTCTTTCTGGAGAAATTGCAGAACGCTCAATTACACAAATGCAAGTGTGTTCCAGAAATAAATCTTCAGAGATTAACTGTGGCTGTGTTCATTCAATTTATTGGCCTTATTGTAAATAACAACATTCACCATCTATGCATTTACATTAGTCAAATGAATTTTTCTATTCATACCCAAGTTTACATGTTAGATACCATAGTTTGGACTTATGTATAGAGCCCTCCACACCACTAGTATGATTCTATGTATCCAAAGTGCTAATTATGCTCATATTCCCCCCTGGAAAAAAAACTAAAAAGATTTTTGCCTCACACAAACAACCGCATATTTTGAGGATGTGCACTTGGAAGAAAAAAAAGAGTCAAGTCTGAGTTGGAAAATCTCTCGTGTTTATGTATGAAAAGGGTTTCTGACTCATTTCCCACACAATCAAGTTTCCACAAAAGTTGGAACACTGTGCAAACAGAACTTGAATGCCATGACTTGTAAATCATAGATATTCTTTGCTATAAAAAGAAAATAAACAACTAAGAGGGCTCAGAAGATCAAAGGAGCACAGCAAATGTGCTGCAGGCTACGGAGAAGCAATAGATCAAACCTTTTTTACAATGTGCATGGTGCTCTTTCTGAATAATGTGAAAGCCACCCACTTCCAAAAAGTTATAAAGGGACAAAAAAGGACAAGAACAAAAAAGTGCGGCTTAACATGGTAATGTGGTTATATTTGAACATATTAAGACCAATATTTCTAAATGTGAAATTTAAAAATTTATGTATGTTAAATGTATTTAAAGAGGCCCCGACAGGCATTATATGGGACTTTAATGGTGTGGTATTTCTGTGTAGCTTCCAATTCTTAGATAAATTATTTTATCTTATCAATTTTGTTGACATGTTATATAAATTAATCAACTGTAAACAGATAATCATGGCATAAATTAGATTTATTTAATTTCTTTACTTTTTTTTACTTATATTCTTTACATTCCCCGGCATCCATATCCCCAGAGTCAGTCTAATCGTTAGGAGAAGGATGAGAAAATGTATGTTGACCTCTTTCGGGGGGGATCCTGACATCATCCGCGGTGGCCATGGACATACGGTGCTGTCACAACAGGCAGTAAAAAGAAGGGTGCCCAGCCTGGTGTCATCAGCTCTGACACTCTGGGGAATGACTCAAGCTGGAGCAACGATTGTTGCTGTGCAGGTCACTGAGGAAACAGACAGGAGGGGATGGCGGGGAGGAAACAGGAGACCTTGGACTGTTTCATTGTTGTTAGGAGGTTTGCTGGAGATGACCAAGATACATTGGGCAGAAGGCTGAGAGACCTCAAAGATTAAAAGAGAAATGCAGGATTTATATACATGATACATAGATAATTCTTTAAGACAGAACCCAACATGAGGGTCTTATAGTCATAATATATCCTAACTGAAAATATTTACACCTTAAGAGGCCTACAATTAGGATAATACACTTATTCTTGGGCTTTACTACTCATTGAATGACTTCCTTATTATGAGGGAGTCCATACACATGCTCAGCCAATCATTCTGAACCCGTTTTAACTTTCCAGTCACGGAGCTGTGTGAGTCGTCAGTAAATCTAGGAGCTACCGGCACACATTGTGCACAGTATCCAGGGCGCAGCGGCATGATCCACCACCTCAGAATACACAGCTTAACGGGGGAACTTCACGATCCGTGTGGGGACAGGGGTGTCGATACCGTCATCTCCTCGTTTGGTCCTCTTCTCTCTCATGCTTCCTCTCCAACTGCGCTCTGGTTGAAGTTTAAGGCACTTACCAGAGTTTTTTTTTTTTTCATTTTCTGTGATCGTTTTTTTGACAACTCAATGGGAGAATTCATTTTCATTTCACAACCCTTTCAAACCAACATTTGAAGAAGAAGCCTCCATTAAAAAAGCTGCTGCTAGTCTGCCCTGCTGATTCACCGCGGTGAGCGGTTCATGTCCTTTTCAATCTCTTAAAACTCAATGCTAATTAAAAAGAGGTGTGAATCATATCCGGCTCAGGATTTGAAAGAAAAATCTTCCCTCCCCCTCAAAAAATTTCTGAAATCTTTTACTTTTTATCCTCACCTTCGCACTTGTACTCATTCGTGACAAGTTTGTTGGAGAGAAATGGCGGTTGTGCCTGGGTTACCTAACCAAGACAGGTATTTAATGAACTGAAAGAGCTCTGTGAGCTGCTTTTGTTGCTCGGAGATCATTTGGGTCAAGAATGAATCAGACTTCCTACACATAAGGAAAAAAAATAAAAGGAGATGCACTATTGCTCATGTTTCCCTCATTCCGTACAAAAGCATTTGTTCCTGCATTAAGCAGCCACGGTCGCAGACACAAATAACAACCATTAAAAGTCTGCCTCTGTCTCGGTTGCTTTGCCATTCTACATTACATGTCTGGATTTTGTCTGTCGTCAACCTTTTCATAACTACGTTAATCTAATTCATATGTTTGTGCAGTTTGGAGCTATTCAGCCCTGAGTTTTGATGCCCCGTTCTTTTGTCACATTTGGCTGGATATTGGATTGAACCTTGTAAATCCTAAAGAAAATCGTCACTGTGTGCACAAATGGAAAAACAGATTTTAGTATAGCTCGAAAAGACGTGTTAGGTTCTGTGTGAGGCCCCTCTAGTGATGACTATAGCAGGCGGCAGTGACCTTCTGTTCTGGTTAAAGAAGAAGAAGCCTCTGACTGAAGGTACTCAGTTGTGACTTTGTTAGGTATTTATTAGGAACACAGTTTGGAAATAGTCTGTGTGCATGTGCAGAATTACCCCTATCTTGTAAAATCCCCAAAGTACCCCCCCCACAAATGGTCATTTGAGAGACTTTTAGGCCACCATCAATGTAATCACTTAAACCAAGTTAAATCTGCATTATACTTGGTATTTTCTCTACTTTTAATGATCTTCCAGCATGAGGTTGTTTATTCTTAAAAAACAAACTACTGTTATCCCACCAAATCCTAAGAGGACCTTCTCTCAGCATTAGAAGAATTCGTGAATAATTTTGAGCTCTATAAAACTGATTATTTCTTCCTATTTATCCTTTCTCAAATGTATTTAATTGCATTCTTTGTGCCGTGAATCCATTCGCACGGCTCATTATTAGTTGAAAGGGAGAAAAGAAAAAAAAAGAGAAACGAGACATTAGAAGATAACAACGATTTAATGTGATCTGACGTTTGTGGACTTTGTTTGTGGCAACATTTCCGGGTAACAACGATCAACGACCTGATGGAGAACGCCTGCAAACAATGCCGCTCCTTGCAAAACCTGGTTGCGTAGACGGGTTAGCTGGGTCGGAGGAATGTTGTACCATCAAGATCAAGTTAATACCCAAACAAGACAACAAACCAGACGTAAAAAAAAAACAACCTGCGGATGCTTCAGCATCGCTGCCACCGGCGGTGAGTCAGCCCACGCTCACAGACTCACCTGTCAAACACCTCCACACGTTACATCCATTCCAGGGTGCCTCCATTGTGGGGGAGGCTATGTAAAGCAGAGCCACGCCAATTAGACGGGCTCCTTCTGATACGTCTTCTCTCTTCTGTGGACCAAAAGTGATTGTAGATGTAAATGTGTAGTTGTGACAGAAAGCAGTGCTGATATTTTGTTTTTTTCCTAATGGAAAGAACAGTACAACCTTGTGATAGCTCATTTGGGATAGTTACTTCTGCCTTTCTAACACATTATGGAGATTTTAAGTCTTAACAGGAAAGATGTTTCCCTGTCCTCAAGCTGGTTCAGATTTCTTGTCTTCCTCTACATTTTTCCCACTGCCCAACGGGGAAAAAAAAACAGTGATAAGGTGATGGAGCATCAGCATTCTCTAGAGGCCAGTGGAGGGAATGACATATCCTTTGTTGAGAGGCATTCATCTTTCTCTCTTTCTGATTTCCCCCCTGTCTGTATCACATCAGCGCACGATAGCATCATATTTATTGCAGAACTCAGCTCTTCTGCAGACTGTTCTATTTTGAGCTGAGTGCAATCTCACAGTTTTGGGGGTTTTTTTTCAAAAGGACTGGCTTGTGTGATGGAAAAACAGAAACCAAATTAGACAACCTGACTTGTGGCTTTTACGTTACAGGTAAGGTTAGGCGGCATTGCTCTGACACACCCTTACTGAATGTAGGAACAACCCTTAGGCAGATCTTTCCTTTGTATTTTCTCCATTTTTTCTCTCTTTTTGACAGCCTGTCATATCGTAACACGACGGGGTAGCTCTGAGCTCTCTGTGTTGGTTTACATCTCCCACATAAGACACCAGCGTGTCTATTATTTATGGAACATCTTCGTCTAGCTATGCACATGTTGCATACCTGGCGAATAGGTGTGTCTGCAGCTCACATGGCAACGGCAAATAAACAAAGCAAACAAGGCATACAAACAACCAAACCAAATTCTTTCTGCTAGGAGAGATGTGTGGGTTCCTGCAGCACGACAATGATGTCTGTCTCTTATTCCAGAACCATGAACAGTGGCGACAAGTACTGAAACGTGGCTCCTTTCTGTGGGTTTTCTATCTGAACTCAGAAGGGATCACTGATATATTTTTGGCTCATGCCATATTTGCACTGATATCATTACCGTCTCTTTCCCCCAGGCCTTTTTCTGCCACTTCTTATCTCAAATATCTGCTCCGATATTCATCAAACCTTTACCTAAAGTTGGCGTGAGAGCATGCGTGCAGCCATTACTGGACACACGAGGAGGCCAGTAAATGTGGGCATATGTGGGAGACGTGAAGTGGGATCTAAAGGTTAAATGACCGAAGCCAGTGCTCACACACAGAATACCTTTTGCATCCTAATAAGCTTATTTGCATCAGCTGCATGTCATATGAGTATTCACCGGCCTGTTGTGCATTATTTCCTCTAAATCTCTTTCTTTTCACTTTCACGTGACATACTTTCTCTTCCCAAAACCCAATATTCTCTCACACCATTTCTTTTCCCCTCGTTCTTTGACACATCCCTCCTCCCACAAGAATTACCCACACAGAGTTAATCTCATCTACCACCAGAATTACCCGCAGGTTTGAGTGTGCAACTTTCTGTTCCCTGTTCTTGTTTTTTTTTTCCAGAAGACCACACCTTGAAGCCAACCCCAGGCTAAATGGCTTGGTTTCACTTGCCATTGAGCATCAGCGCAGCAGGAGCTGACGCACAATCCTCACTGCCTATTCTGAGGAAATCTCTTCCGTCTGTCTATGGTAAGATGTTTATTTTTTGTCCACATTTGCATTTGTTTAGAAAATATATGTGTGATAGATTCATCGCTGAACTTCAGTAAGTTTTTCTCTCTTCCTTTTAATATAAGAGGCAAGAGAAAAAAAGATAATGAGGTGAACAAAATTCACCAAAAGAGCAAGAATATTTGCCTGCTTTTCTTTTTTTTTCCCCTCATAAAACTACACAGAACCAGACAGAATGTCAAGGGTCTTGCGTTCAGTTCTGATACGTAGGAGAGAATGAGAATTCTTAAGAAGGGTAACTGGAAGGATTTTGAATAAAACTGTTCATATTATCTGCCGTTTTTTTCCTGCACATTGGCCTTAAAAAATAGCGAGGTTGATGGTAAAAAGAAGACAAGATGTGGAAATGACAGAAAACAGGGAAGTAAAGAACAAAATGGCTTGTCCGAAAGAAAAAAAAAGTGCCTCAAGGCAGCTCTAGCCCTACCTTTTCTTCCCAGCAGCTAGAACATACATACACTTTATACTCTCAGTGAATGGAAAAACTTTTCAAACTGGCTTAACCCGTACAGCAAGTGTTGCGCAATCTATAAATGCAATAGGAGACGTCTTGTATGAACAAACATCGTCCGACTCAGAAAACTACGTCTGGGTCTCATATGTTGCATGTTGTATGTTTATGTTTGATGATTTCTCCCACTTCCTCTCAGTTGAGGTCAAGTCATATTCGCATTTCAGTGAGTCAGTATACTGACATCAAACATCGCACAACTCAAGAATGGGCAATGTGGGTGTTCTATCACAATAAAGAAAAGGCAAAAAGACTGCTTGACTCTTGTGGAGGTCGTAAGCAGGAAAACAAATCGTGGTCCACGTTTTGCCACCTGAGAGTGACCTCAGAGTTACATACTGTTCTGCAAAGAATTAGGACAGACAATCTGACTAACTGTACTTGTCAAAACAGCAATGACTCGCACTGTGGATTTGCTTTAGAATTCTGTAGGTAGAACTCCAGACCCAGGCCGGGGCAAGCTGTTAGATTAATGCTTCTGGCTGTGTTGTCACTTTAGAAGCAGAGCTAAAGTGCAGGTAACATCAGCGGTGATTGAACATGTCTGGCTTTAAAAAGCCCCATGTTTTGATTCCGAGTTGAGTCTTTTTATACGGCCTAATTTAATAGTCAGGAATGCTGGATGAGAGAGAAAATAGCGACTGATTTGACAGCTCAATATGTCTACGGCGGTGCTGAAACGGTGACAGGGAGCGTCTCGGAATTTAAATTGTTGGGATTAGATGAGACAGAGTTGAAATGGAACACTGGGCATCGAGGCTGTTATCCAACTTCTTCCCTGTCAAGCTCGGAGCGTCCGTCAAAATGAGACATAAATGTAAAAGAGAGGCCCTTTTTTGTGTTGTCAAAAAGCTGTGGTTGAGAGGGCCTCACCCTCATGAGGCAAAAAAGACTCTCCTTATGTCTACAAAACTAAATATGGATATTAAAGCTTTAAAGGCAACAAAGGAAATGTGGAGACGACTTTAGAGATCACTTATTCCACATTATTGGTGTTATTTTAAGTAAATTCCCCTTTTTGTTGTCAGAGCAGAGCTCCCCTGATCACTCTAACATTGCCAAATGAAGTGCTGTCACATTTGAAAAAAGACTGAACAAGACATTCTGGGTTACAGTGACGACTGCAGCTGCCTGTTTAGCCACACTGCTGTTCAAACAACCGACTAACAGAGGGGCCAGCATTCATTTGTCTTTTCAGCAAAGGGAGGCTCGGATGATGACTCACACATCGGTGTATAATGAGTCAGTGTTGTAAAAACGGCTTTGTGCTCACGTGAAGCACCTAGAATTGAAAATGAATTTGTATAAGAAATTTCCATTCCTTTCGATTGCACAGCTGATGCTCTTTTGTTTGCGTATCCAGCTTCAGAATCAATCAGAATCAGAATCATTCTTGGTGTTGACGACAAAAGAATCTCTAGAAAAGCTGCAATGCGTTTAGGACTAATACTGCAGTGTAACTGATATAACTGTTAAGGGGGAAATAAGGAATGCAATCTCCTACACTGTAAATTTAACATTTAATTTTGCATGTGAAGCGCATTAAATGATGAATGCCTCTTTTTTTTTGTTATGCACTTCAGCATTTACAGCTAATTGGCTGGCAAAATAGTTTTTGATCATGTAAATAAATCATCTTACTGGCATGTCGTGTGAGATTACCTCATAAATGCGAATGCGTAAATCATTAAAGGGACACTCTGTCTGTTTATACACTTCAGTTAACCTGTCGTACAGTGTAGAATACACTGCGAAGACAATAGTCTGGCCTGTTAAATTGTTTTGCAGGAGCTTTGTGGAGTCTTTGAAAGTGACTAAATTTTGTAAGCTTGAACAATGTTAACGCCTGGCCATTCAGAGTTCAAGAGTGCAAACACACATAGGCCTCCAAGGTGTACGGTTCCATGTCACATTTCTTTAAACATGGCTGGGAAAATTACTTCGGTGCAGCAATTTATTGATATGTACATTAAAACACCACCCAGAACGAGAACACGGACAGAACTTCATATGAAACCAAAAAAACAGGCACTAAATCAGTTATTTCTCTTTATTTATTCCCTCTGGAGACTGTACTCATGATACTTTGGATTGCTCTACTATACCCCTGGATTTTTACCATTCATTCTGTTATCTTGACTGATTCAGTTCCACTGTGCTTTGACAATTCTTAGAAAGTGGAAATTGTGTTTTACCACCGCAACAATATTTTCTTCAGATATGCCTTTACTCACACGGAGATCTCATTCCTGTGTATTCAAAGAGAAGGAGTAGCACCGTCCTTTGCAAAAGAGATCAATTTTGATGTAATGGAGTTCACAAAAGTATCTTATATGAAGATAGGAAATAGGTGCTGTAATCAATTGTAACATACAAACATTAATGGAAACACACTAAGAAGGCAAAAATTGTCTTTGCAATAATAACCTTGAAAGTCAGCAACTATTGTTATTAATTCATCATTAATTCATCAGTCTTTCATGGTGACAATTTATGAGAAGGCTTTTGCAAAGAAAAGACAGATACTGTAAGTTGAAGGGATAAATGCATCTACCAAATCCCGAGTCAGTTTGTGCTGGATTTTTTTTTTCTTATGTCTTTGGAATATCCATCATCAGATACGGTTCATTTATTGTAGATTTAAGTTTTTCAGGTCTGACTCTTTTTTGTAATCTTCCTCATTCAATCAAAATCATTTTGAGGTAACACAGGTCAAAATGCAAAGATTTGTCAAGTTTTTAGTTAATAATGATTCATAACACTGATGAGCAAGACAATGAAAAACAATATGCTAATTTCTCTCAAACAGTTTTTTCTTTTTTTGGATAACGACAAAGAAACCTGGGAACAGTTTTAATGTGTCTGTCCAGGCTGTCAGATGGAGTTTAGAACCTTTTATGTGCCTCAAGTACCAAATTCCACATCTTTTTTTCCATTGTGGTGAAAGTTCTGAATGCTGAATTAGATTAAAATATACAATCTCTCACCATAAAACAAGTACACCATGTGAACCTTCACAAGATCGTAAGGGAAAAGATCAACGGTTGAAGACTAATGTATTTCCTGGCTGAATATTGGATAGACTTCAAATCAGAGAATTTGGCATAGAGCCAAGGAGCATGCCTGAACAGGGCAGTCTTACTGTATCAAACATGCCCAACAGTTGTGACTGGAAAGACTGGAAGCTTTTCTCCATTCTCAGGCAATCTATATTCTAGCCTTGTTTTTTGTAAATCCCAAAACCAAAATGCTCTTTAGAGCACGTTTACACATTTAGATTCTGTGAAAACATGTGCATAGGCCTTTTAACTGATTAAGTTAAGTTCCATGTGTTTGAATTATTGTCACAGTTGTAATCTGCCTTTTTTCTCTCATTGCTCAGGTTTGGTGATCTCAAAATCATCCCAGCTAGCCACCTCCGTCAGTTTCTCCCGTCCAGTCCTCCACCTACAAGGCAGCCGTCATGAACTGGGGTGCTCTGGAGGCACTCCTCAGTGGGGTCAACCAATACTCCACCGTTTTCGGCCGAGTGTGGCTCTCCATGGTTTTCGTCTTCCGGGTGATGGTGTTTGTGGTGGCGGCTCAGCGGGTGTGGGGAGATGAGAACAAAGACTTTGTCTGCAACACCCAGCAGCCAGGCTGCCCCAACGTGTGCTACGACCACATCTTCCCCATCTCCCACATCCGCCTGTGGGCCCTGCAGCTCATCTTCGTCACCTGCCCCTCGCTGATGGTGGTTGGCCACGTCAAGTACCGGGAGAAGAAAGACATGAAGTACACCACCTCTCACGAAGGTGCTCATCTCTATGCCAACCCTGGAAAAAAACGTGGAGGGCTGTGGTGGACATACCTGGTGAGAGAAAAGACTTTTAATATACTTATTGCCCTTGCTTTGGTTTTGAGATCAAACCAACCAAAGTTGGTGGTAAAAATATATATATATATATTTAAAAAATATATATTTGTCGTTACTTATTCATGCTAATGTGCAGTTGTTTATTTGACCTTGCATGATACTATAATAATCATTTTCTAAACTTTGTCTATCCTTATATCATCAAAACAACCAGTGTTTGATTTTTTTCTCTCAATTTGACCCACATTTATCATCTCTCACAGGTGAGTCTGATTTTAAAGGCAAGCTTTGATGCTGGCTTCCTCTACCTCCTACACCACATCTATGAAGGTTTTGATTTGCCGCGCTTGTCCAAGTGTTCCCTGGAGCCTTGTCCGAACACAGTGGACTGCTACATATCCCGTCCAACGGAGAAAAGGATCTTCACTCTGTTCATGGTGGTTTCCTCTGCCGTTTGCATCTTCATGTGTATCTGTGAGATGATTTACCTCATCTGCAAACGTATCCAGAAATTGATTCTGAGGAAGAAACAGCTAGACCAAAAAATGTTTGAAGAAAACCATGAAATGGCCCCACTGTCCAGGCCACGTTCCGAATTCAGGTCCAAAACCTCCGTCAGAGTGGATCCCACGGTATCTCTCCAAAACCTCAGTAACTTAAATGCTGAGAGGGTGACTGTTTCTAGGAAACAGTAACGCACGGTATGGGTGAGATTGTGTTTGAAAACTAAGCAACGCACTTAAAAGAACACATATGGGACTCCCTGAAGTACGCCTGCACGCCTCCACAGAGACACCCTTCGCATCAGGGATTTCTAAGACATAGTTTTTGTATATATTTTGATGTAAAAGTGACATCCTATGATGTTGTACAACTCTATATATCCAAAAGTACTACTAATGATAAAGGGTGAAAGGCTCAGAGTGTCTTTTTGTGAATGATGCATTATATAAGAATAAGTGTTGAGGCCAACTTCTGTGAATGTATCTAAAAAATGTAATTGTACTGAACTATTATGTAATTTGCTGTAAAAAAAAGTGGACCATGAACTTATATCCCTACCAACTAATCATGGTAAATACATTTAACTGGATATTTTCCCTTAACAGGAAAGGAGAATTCACTTTCACTTTTAAGAGATCGGTTATCATATGTTTAGTTTTACTTATGAGAAAAGAATTGATAGAAATTGCTGGACGATGGTATGTGTACACTTGTTGAAAACACTGGGAATTGTTTCTAAACCTGTAAATGTTTTAAGCGATGAAGTAACAATGTAGATAAGATATTTTATATTTATTGTTGCAACCAATAAAGAATTTCTCCCACAATTCTACACCGTGTCCATTTTCTTCCTCTTCGCTAATCATTGTTACTGTATGTAACTGAAGCTGTCTTCTCATAGGAGTAAAAAGGAAAAAAAGAAAGAAAAGAGAAGAAAAAAGAAAGCAGCAGTTCTCACAGAACTCCACAACGAGTGACTCACAGACAGACGGGTTAGGCGTTTTTATTGTTTTCTCCTTTTTAAAGTCGTGTTGACGTAATTTTTTTTCCACTCTACTGTCCAATCAGAAGCAGAACTCACGGGTATAGCTTTGATTGACAGAAAAATAAACCAATAGCCACCCTGAACCAGCCGGCTCCGTATCCGCATTTACGGGAACGTAGTCGGAGGAAGTGAAGTCTGTGAAACATAACATGAGTTTTCATTACGGCCAGGTATTGTAAACTTAACTGCATTTTGGCAGCGTCTAACATGTTTAAATTCTCTAATTTAGCGTGCCGTTTGTTTTTGTTAGCCTGTCACAATATGTGAGTTGTATAAACGAGAAACGTCAAGCATAGTTAGCAGGGTGTGTTGTTCAAATCTCAACTCTTGCTAGTTTTACAGCTTATTAGTGCAATATTGTGTACATTGACCCTTTAGTCCGCCAGTATATGGACTTTCGGTTCACCAGTATCATATTATAAAATTTCTTTAAAAAGTTAAAGTTCTTTATCCGTACAAACTGAACCGTTTAGGCAGTTGTTTGAGAGCTAACACTCGTCTCAACCCGTGTTATCCATTGTTCATGAATCTTCTTGCTAAAAATGGTCGTCGGAAGTTCTTCCGTTTGGTGGCTGTTTTCTCCATGGTCTTCTCATCCTCCTCTTTTGGGACGTTGGGGTCCAGCCTCTGGCAGGGATACCATCATCACATTACTTTAGGGAGACTTTTACAGGTTCCAGACCATTTAAATTTTTTAACGGACAGAGGCTGTTGTTTCTTTTTCTGGTATCCCTCTTGGGATGTGTCCTCAGAAACGGTCCGGTCAGACTGGTGTCACTAAGCCTTCTGGCTTTGTTGTCACTCTGATGCATACTGTCATCTGTCAGAGCTCATAAGAAAACAACAAAAAAGAAAGTGTGTCTCGGGTTAAATGTCCACAAAGAGAGGACACATGCAACAGCTTTTCATCTACAAATGTCACAAGGTTCTGAATATCACAGATATTATATACCGGTCTTTATCAATTATGTATGCATCTTTAGTCTTAGTCTGTGTCAGTTTTTTAATCCCGTCTGCAGTTATGTGTGTTCTTGCCTGTCCCTTTAGGGCTATCCAGGAGGACACAACCCTCAACAAGGAGCTCCTTACGGTGGGGGAAGAGGTCCATACGGGGCTCATCCCACTGCTCCCCCCACTGCTCCCTATGGAGGCGCACCAGGTCCAACAGGTTATGGCAGTTATGGAGTTCCAGGTTATGGCGGGCAATATGGACCTGGACCCGGCGGCGCCCCTCAGGGGCCTTATGGGGGTTATGGCGGTCAACCATACGGAGGAGCTAATGGGTACAACGCCCCTCCAGGTAATGGCGAGCCTTTCAGGCATGCTTTGTACACAACAGGATAGCAGATTGTTCCTCACGCCGCTTCTTTTTCTTCGTCGTCGCCCTCGTTCTCGTCCTCCCCGGCTTTCTGGTGGGATGATGGATAGAAGATGGCTGGCGTTCGCAGACAGTCATGTAGCGACAGGGCTCAGTTTGTGCCCCTCAGCGGGGCTGCTCGGCTGGAGTGATGACTCCAGTAATACTGAGCGAGGGCTAAGCAGAGTAAGAGATAGATGGGCCGGGAGAGGGTATGTGTGTGGGTGTGTGTGTGTGTGTGTGTGTGTGTGTGCATGTTTGCGCTGCTTCTAGTAGCAGCTAAACGTAAGTCAGAATCTGATAGTATATGCTGCCATCACTCCCCACGGGGATGGAATCCATCAAAACCCCGCCTGAAGTGTCACCTGTCCTTCTCCCCCCATCCATTTTTCTGACGATGAGCCGTCCATCCACTCCTCCCTGCTCCTCGCACCGTATTCTCCTAGACTCCTTCTCTTTTGCCCCGTTCGTCCAGATACTGGCCTCATGCCCTAACACGACCTCCTTCCTGCTGAGATGATTTTTTCCAACACCGCCTATTGTCTCGTCTCCTCAATTTTCTGTGCTGATGAAACGCCTCCTTTTTTTTTTTATCACAATCGCTGGAAGATTTATTATTGGGATCACAGGGAGTCAAACATGGATTTATTTTTCTGATCAGGGTTCTTTTGGGGCAGAGGCACCACAGGTCCAGCCATCAGACAGTTAACGATTTTCTTTTTATTAGCTCTGCAGTGGTTTCATTTCCGGGGTATATTATAATTTTTTTTGTCCTTCTTTTAATAATTATTTTCCTCCAATACAGTTCCCCGGCTTCCAATCCAGCCTGGGAACTGTATTGTAAAAACGAAAAAAAATGTAATTTGTACTGAATATATCAGATAGCCATGCTGAGAGAACATCCGACCTCCCCTCTTCCTCTGTGTAGGTAATGTCCCCCCTGGTGTGAACCCTGAGGCCTACCAGTGGTTCCAGAGTGTTGACGCGGACCGCAGCGGCTTCATTAACATGAAGGAGCTAAAACAGGCCCTTGTCAACTCCAACTGGTCCGCTTTTAATGACGAGACTTGCCTCATGATGATAAGTAAGTCAGCGTCGGGCAGATCTGTGGTGATGGGTTGTTTTGTTTTTTTAAATGTCTTGACTGTTTCTGGGGGCAGAATGAATTCAAGTTAAAGTATGTGAAATACCATCAGCGACCTAAACAGCTGCAGCAAAGGAAACCCAGGAAAAAAAAACAGATAAATGGATGAAAGAGTGGCAGATAAAAATAAAGCAAGCACCCTCAGGGCTTCCAAACTTCTAAACAAAAATCTTTTCTTCGTCTAATGGGAGACGTTAAGGCTGTGAGGACTTGACCTAAAAAAAAAATACAGTCGTGTTTGTCTGGCTGCCTGTTTGCTGTGCGACTATCTTTACATTCCAGCTGCATTTGCCCGGCAGTGACTAATGTATTCTATTACCATGATGGGAAACGTGTGACTTGTTTGGACTACTGTTACAAGGAGAAGGTTCACCGTGATGGATGAGGGACTCGGCGGGAACACGCTGCAACATTTGTGCTTTGATGTGAAAGAAAGTAGAGCAGTAACTGGGGGAAAGAAATGAAAAAAAACAACAACAAAAAAACGCCCTCTTTGATTCTTGTTTATCTAAGCCTGGCATGTATGGTACTTCCTTTTAGACATGTTTGACAAGACGCGGTCGGGTCGGATAGACGTGCTTGGCTTCTCGGCGCTGTGGGACTTCATGCAGCGGTGGAGAGCCTTGTTCCAGCAGTACGACAGGGACCGCTCGGGATCCATCAGCGGCTCCGAGCTGCACCAAGGTACCGCCGTCCGCCACTCGGCCTGCCGCCATGCCGTAGGCGGCGCTCTTCCTGACGTGCCTTCTCACTTTCCGCAGCCTTGGCCCAGATGGGCTACAACCTCAGCCCGCAGTTCTCGGAGACGCTGGTGCAGCGCTTCAGCGCGAGGGGCGGGCGGCCCGGCATCCAGCTGGACCGCTTCATCCAGGTGTGCACCCAGCTGCAGAGCATCACGCAGGTGTTCCGGGAGAGGGACGGCGCCATGGCCGGCAGCATCCGCCTCAGCTACGAGGACTTCCTCTCCAGCGCGGTCACGCGGCTCATGTGAGCACGCCACCGTTCCGTCTGCAGGCCGCCGTACCCCCCAGCCGCCGCCACAGGTGCCCACACACACCCAGGTGCAGATGGCAGCCAGTACACACCATTCCTGAGTTAGCTGCTGTGAGCAGTCAGTCTGACTGAGGTCCAGCGGCTACTTTACAGCCAGCTGAAGCTTTCACTTTCCCACACTCCGAAAGAGTGTCTGTGGCTTTGTATCAGCCACCATCGCTCTCATTCTCAACAGTCACTCTCTGACCAAAGATGCCTCGTTAGCTATGTTATAAAAGGTTCTTCCTTGCTTAGCGCTGTTATTGACATTACGAGTAGCTGAACTCAGATCCAAGTGAACAACGGACTGATTGATCATTTGGTTGGAGACTCCACTTGGTACAAATCTGTCACAGCTGAGCCAGTCCTTCTAATAAAGGTGATAAAAGCTGCTCCTCTATGACAGTTCTGGGTTGAAATTCACGTTTGATTTATGAAATCATATGCAGAAGTAGCATACTCTTTTTCCATTAATGATATTCAAACTTTTAAATGAATACACAGGAGAGGAATTTGGAGCTTCCATAAGATATTTATTTGCTATGGTTGGACAGGGATAAGAGGTGGAGGGTCACATTTTGAAGTGCCAGATTTCTAAAGTAGTTTTTGCCTAATTGCGCCCTTTTAAATTCACATAGCAATAACGGACACAAAAGAGAGATGAGAGAGATAAAAGTGTGCCTCATTAAGTTTTCTCCTTTTATCCATTGCTCCGGGATCTTCAGTATCTGTGTGGCCAGTACATGAAAGGCCCATCGTTAGTGGGTAATATGCTCCTCTGAGATATTTGTATTCTGATGTCACTTAAAATGCCAAATAGTTTGTCATGCAAAAAGCCAATAAATTGTTTGTATTCATATCTTGTTCAACTTCTTTCTCAGTGCTACAGTGGTAGGTTTATTTCCAATTTCCCAGCAGGAGAAAGTGGTCGATCCCACGGCATGACATTTTGAAGAATATGTCTCAAACTATTTGGACCTCAACATCCCCAGATCTACCATTTGTATGTCCCCACGAAAGTCCGGATTGGCTGCATTAAATGTGGGAAAAAAAATCCTCTCCTTCCATATCTGCTGCATCTCTCCCTCCGCATGTGTTCATCTGCTTGAGCACCGTCTACGTCAGGAGTCCTACTGTTTCACCCCAAATCACAAGCAATCCATCAAATCCCCTCGTGCTTCGCTTTTGCTCGCCTTCCACATCCATCTCCTCCTTACCCCTCTCCTTACATCTTAATCTCAGTTGAACCCGGGCTGTCAAAGCCCCTTACGCCCGCCTCAGTGTCACATGTAGTGCCCGTCGCGCCGCGCTCTGTTTGTGAACATGTGTCTGGTGTCTGAACCCTCCTTAAAACACGGGAGCGTGGGGAGTCGGGGGTCGTGGACCAGAGTGCGCGGCGCTTAGCGGATTACGGCCACGGAACAGGCAGCTGCCAACCCCACGCCGCTGATGGGATTCAGCCCCAGTCCTGACTGTCAATTTTTCTGTAATGAGGAAATTTTCCGACCACTGACCATGCCTGACACTTGTAATTAACTTTGCAAATAGAGCGGGTCTGCGGCTGGCGGGCTTGATGGGTGGAGGGGGGGGGGGGGGGGGG